TTATGCAGATGCTGGCTTTTCTTGGTCAGTAGCATTTTTCACTTTAATGTTTTTTTGGTCAAAGTTAGGGCTGTTTATTAAGTAAAAAAGGAGTGCTCTGTAAATTGGTGCCAGACTGAAGTAAATAGGACAGAAAATACATCAATATGAGTTTCACACTCCTCTAAAAGCTCTTCCATCTGCTCTGTTTACTTCTGCAGTTTTTCCCAAGCTGGTGCAGACGCTGAATGGTGGTCTGCACATGATGGTGATTCTCTTCCTGCTGTTGGCTGTGGGCTTCGCCCTGGTCAGTCTGTCCTTCTGCATTTACAACGCTCGTAAAGTGCCCTACCAGAGCATCAAAGGTCACAAAGGACTTTACCTGTGGAATTTTATCGCTGGTAAAGAAATCAAAAAGAAAAAAATGTGTTTCACTTCCATCTCTTTTGCATTGCTCAGCCTTAGTTTTATTTCCTATTCAATTACTGCTAGTCTGGCAGATATAGTTGTTTTTTTCTGTTTTTGCAGCCATTTCTCCAAAAGCAGTAGAACCATACAACAGTGTAACAATATAAACATTTAGGCATATTATATTTTATTTTGAAAATTGCATTCAAAATATTTATACCCTACCTAATAATCTTTAATAGTAATCAAAGCCATCTTATAATTGCTGAACACTGCATTTCCCAGAGTTCAATTGGTATGTGACTGTATATCTTTAGTGATGAGTCTCAAGCTCTCGAGGTTGGAGAGTCTCCTTGCCATCACCATAATCTCCTCTAACATATTCAAGCTGAGATCGTTGCTCGGATTGCTCCAAAATGTTATGCCTCTTCTTGGTAAACTAATAAATATTCTTCTTTTCCTTCAGCTATAAGTTAAATAATGCTGAAGCCAGTATAACCTGTAACACACAGCAGTTTAATATGATATATTTAGTTTTTAATGTTTTGCTAGACTTGTCACATTTGCAATAGTATCTTTTATGCCCTATTTCAACTGTGACAAGTCAATAAAAATATTTTAGTTATCTAAAGATGAAACCAGCTGTTGATCTGATCTGATCTGCACAGATACCATCAGGGGATTACTGTCAGCATATGTAGTCTAAGCATCAGACTTATAATGAATAGGCTACCTTCTGTACTGGGATTGAGGAAGTGTTCTGAATCTGAATGATATTGCTTCTGTAAAAATAAACAGATAAATACTTCTGGTATGTATACAGAACATATAGACTCTCATGAATGCTTATCTGTTACTCAGACTTTTTTATCTGTTTGATTTTTTCTTTTTTCCGTCCACAGCTCTTTTTGGTGCCCTGGGTCTTCTTTGTTTCCTAGCAGCCGTGAAGCACCATCGTCTGACTGAGCGGGTGGCAAACTATCGAGAGAACTTCTTTGTCCTGGAGGTCCTGGAGGACACCTTGGACTGGTCTTTCTGGCTCGGGGTCGGCAGCATCGTGACTCACTTCGCCGTTTGTGGAATGGTTGCCATGAGTCGCATAAAGCTGCCCAAACCGGAGATCAAGAAGCCTGAAGAGCCCACAATCTCTGCCCTGGACCTACTCTATTGAGAAACGCACACAAAAAACTGCTTTGTTTTTCAGTCTGGAAAACAAAAACCACATTCAGTCTGAGATTTGTAATAATGCTGCCTGATTCAACCTACGGTTATTTCAGGAAAAAATATATTTAAAGGACTTTTAATGATGATTTGTGTCAAAAAATAAGTATCTGGAAATAGATTTATTAACATTTTGTTTTGTATTATGTTCTTTTTGGTTCTGAACGGACAAATAATCACTTTGTCACTTATTTAAAGGCATCTAAAATTCAAAACAAGAAATAATAAAAATGTTCTTAATTTGGAAATAGCTGACAAATCACAAAATGCAGAGATACTGTATAATAGATCCATCCATCCATCCATCCATCCATCCATCATG